TGTGTGTGTGTGTGTGTGTGAGAGACAGAGAGAGAGAGAGAGAGAGTGTGTGAGAGAGAGAGAGAGAGAGAGTGTGAGAGAGAGAGAAGAGATTTGATTTGATTTGTAACACCTCTTTATTTATACAAACAAGGTTTTTCTACAAGCTAGAAAACTTTTTTTTTTCTCCTCTAAACGAAAGTTATGAGTGATTTCATGAAAAAAACATTTAGCTCAAAACAATTCCAAAGCACAGCATATTGTCTACAACAGAGCACAACACATCTTTATAACACCAGATGAAAATGAATTCCTCTACATTATTTATAGAAATATGAAAATCAAAATCAACCTTCAATCTGGCTTTCATCATTCTGACAAACAAAGTGCTTGCATCACAATCAAGAGACCCATCTACCTTATTTCTCCTGCTAATATAAATAGCCATTTTTGCTTGACCTAAAACAAAATTAAAAAGCTGACATTTCTGTCTGCATTTTTGACTGTATCTATATCCAAGAATAAACATCTCTTTAGTAAACACTTCTCCAAACATTATAAATAGTTGTTGCAACAATGTAAAAACATTACAAAATCTGCTACACTCTGAAAAACAATGAAACACTGTTTCCCTTTGCGAACAGAAAGGACCATTTTCATTTACATTAGAATTAATAACAGAAATAAAAGCATTGACAGCCACAATTCCATGCAACACTCTCCATTGTAAATCCCCAACTTTTTTTGTTAAAGGTGATTTATATAGAGCTCTCCACACAGGTTTGACTTCATTGACAAGCCCAAAATGAGCTCTCCAGGGAGTATCAGCTCGACCATTCAGTTTGTCTTTATTTATAATCTTGACAAAAGACTTATACATAGATTTACCTGTCATTGTGACCACATTGTTATTGAGAGTTCCATCTAACTCTAGCAATGAACCAGTGCAGTTTTTAAAATCAGGAGCAAGAATTAATGAAGGGAAGATATCCTTACTGTTAGGTTGACAATGTCCATAACAATATTCATTACATAAAGAGAGTTCAGTCGGTGCAAGTTCACATTTCCACTTGTTGAGCAAATGAATTACAATCCTGATAGATCGGACTCCTAAAGTTGAAATCACCCCCCAGGATCAAATAACAATCATCGGAGCAATTTCTTAGGTTACACTTTATTTCGATAGTCCACTTTAGACATTCTATTAACTATAAGTAACTTTGTAACTACATGTCAACTACATGTCAACTAATTCTCATTAATTTGCAACTACATGTCTACTAACTCTCAGAGTAGACTGTTAGGGTAGGTTTAGGGTTAGTAGAATACATTGACAAAGAAAGTGTTAGAAGATATTAAGCAGACAGTCTACTAATACTCTACTAACTGCTAGTTGACATGTTGCAAAGTTACTTATAGTTAATAGAATGTCTAAAGTGGACTATCGAAATAAAGTGTTACCATTTCTTATAACATTGTTTAAAGTGTTTAAAAACATCACCCTTTCAGTTCCCACAGTTGGAGCATACACATTAATAAAAATCAATTTTACCTTTTCAAAGACAGTGTGTATCTTTAATAAGCGACCCTTAATAATTTCCTCAGTAACAAAAGATATTGGTAAAAAATCTTTAGAAAACAAGATCCCAACTCCACCACTGTTACTGCTCTTATGACTAAGACACACTTCCCCATCCCATTCCTTCTTCCAGTCGGCTTCATTCTCTACTGTACTATGCGTTTCTTGCAGGAATACAACATTAAGGTTTCTCAATTTAAGTAGATTAAAAGAGAGAGAGAGAGAGAGAGAGAGTATGCCAAGATGTACACCAAAGTATATGCATTCAGCAAACCTCATACGGGACACTCACCGATCCAGCACACCGCAAACGGGGCAATAAAACAAGAGTTATCAGGAGAAGAAGAAGGAACTCTCGACGAGTCAGAACTGGAGAAAACACAGGCATTTCTGCACGAGCTCTGCTCCCTCTGCGCGCCAGATCCTTGGATGCGTTTCACCGGGACTCAGAGCAGATGAAGTCCGTCCCAAAAGCAAGTGTCATGTGTGGGATTCCTCCATTATAGATGGATGGATGCGTGGAGGCGCGCGCGGGAGTTCCCACGAGAAAAGCCTGATCACACCTGACGCAGCGCGAGCCGGTGATGCGATCCCGATCCTCGGGCTGTGATGTCTGCCTGGTCCCCGTGATGCTGCATGCGCACCTTCAAGCTGCTGCTGTAGGCTGTCGCGCGTCACGTTCAGATCAGGAATGCAGTTAATCATCCACAGAGCGAACCTCCCGCACACTGCCTCCATAAAAGCGGAAAATAAGAGCCATGGATACGCTGCGTTATAATAAGAAGTAACAATAATTATAAACTGTCCACATCAGAACGAGCTGAAATATATAGTTAACAACAACAATACAATATTTAGAGTAATAAGAGTAGAATAACTCACATAGCTTTCCACAACAGACCGAGCTCAAATATACAGAGACTGTTGTTATCATCATCATCATCATTGTTATTAAGCTATTATTATTATTATTATTATTAAATTGGTATGCATAAGCTAAATAAGGCTTGCTGATGAAGCTTCCCACATCAAAACTTGCTAAAATATACTGTTTATTATTATTATTATTATTACATATTTAGTATAATGCCTTGGCTAAATAAAAGTAGAATTACTCTCGAAGCTTTCCATATTAAAAGTTGCTAAAAACATTAGTTGTTGTTGTTGTTGTTGTTGTTGTTGATGATGATAATTTAATGCGTGAGCTAAATAAGAGTAGAATGATTCTTTACAGTTAAAACTTATATTAACAAGAAATATAGCCGCTAGCTATACTTCAAATACTTGAAAGTAAATTAACAAATAAAATAAAACAATTGTTTACTTTCTTTTTGTCAAATGACTAAAATCTTAAAAAGTAAAAAGTGGAAGACTACTTAATGTTCTCATATATATATATATATTTTACTGTGCAAATTCATGGTAGCAGGACTTAAAAGAAAATCATAATAAAACAGAAAAAAGGGGTTAATTTCCTAAAAGGATGATTTTAACGAAGTATTTGATTTATGGACTAGCACAAGGGCATTTTTATGACACAATTTCTTGTCTTTTTAATGACTAATTAATAGTAATCAACAATAGTCTACGTTATATTTTTCTTATTGAGGACCAGAGTGCTGAATGGTGAGTTTATAGTCAGTGTTGTTATAAAAGCCTAAAGAAACAATACTTATATTCTATATTCAAATGTAGACAGCCTATATTGTTCCATATATAGGGGAAAGTTACTTAGTATCTTATTGAGTTAATTTTGAATTCATCTTATCAATAAATATCAACTGCATAAATCAAGCCATAAACTGCAAAATGAATGCAATATTAAGAAATGTTCAAACTATTTTCGATGAGATGCATCCTGCTGCAAACACTGCTGTGATGTTGTTAATAACCCTGACACTCTCTAGTGCTGAGTATAGCTCTCGCACGCGAGTAATAATGATTTCACTTTCGTGTTCATTCACTCACTCACTGCTGAATCCAGACAGATTTCACTTGTAGTTTCAGGGCTCGTTTCCAAATAACAAAGAGCTCATCTGATATACTAGTCTTGAACTGCGGCTGTTTTCCTCCGTATCCCGACGCATGGGGAATTCCGTCGGATGCTGGGAAAGTCTCAGCCAGATTCCAGGGAACCCCTCTGAAGGTGTTTATAAGGCTGTGTGTGTGAGTGCGCTGCGATCAGAAGCAGGTGAGCGTGTCTGGAAGCACTTCTGCGCGGATCGGGATCCAGACGAGGTGAGCTGAACTATCTACAGACGACACCTGCGTTCAGAGTTTCTGCTATATGAGCTGAAAATATATCATATAAAAAAAAAATCGATATATTGAAATTGTACAAATGAAAAAAAAATGCAAAAGAAACTTGCAAAAAAAAAATTTTTTAATAAAAAAAAAAAAAAAAAAAAATTTTTTTT